TCCCTCCTGTTGCCCATTCCCTGATTGCTCCCTCTATGTATTTAAGCCCTGTGTTTCAGTTTGTCAGTGTCGCGATCTACTACGTAGCCCAAATATCATGTCTGCTTCATTTCTGATGAAACAACAAGGGAGCACCTGGCCATGAACTGCTTGTGAGTCAATTGTCCATTTAATTTTTAACCTCTGAAATTGTAAAACCTCTCAAATTAAAAATGAAAGTCTGAACGTCAATCGCATATTGATTGATTTACAATCCACAGTGGTGGTGTACACTAAAACTATAAAAAGAGCATCTTTTTCCAATAAATTATGGACCTCACTGACACTGTATGTAACATCATTATAAACAACAAAGACAACAACACACAGGTGGTTATGTGAACATTCAGAAGAGAAATCATGACAAAATTCTAAGAACTTGATCATGTGTTTTTATTAAATAAAGAATAAGTTACAATAATAAGACATAATGTAAAAATAACTCCATACAAGACAGGAAATCATACATCAGTGTGTCACAGCAACTTTGTGAGAAGTTGTTAAATAAATGTACATTGCGAGTTTTCACTGAGTGACAGGGCTGGGTGATACGTGTGTGCGTGGGGGCCATCAGCTTAGTTTGGGGGTAAGACAGCAGCGCTTTACCTTATGATATATCAATTAAATTTACACATCACACATTCAGAAACACAGTAACTGTTAGTGGATGTGAAGTTGCAGGAATGAGTGAACCGACTGGCTGTAATCAAACAGGCAATATTAACACAAGCATGCACACAAACACAGTAGGAAGCATGGTTCATTAACACTGTTTCAGATTTCTGCTCGAAAACCTCTGACTGCACTAAAATCACGGACAACTACTACCATACTGTTGCACACACTTGATTTCAAAATCATACAAATACATATGATTGAATAAAAAGGCTGAATGGATTTAAAAAAAAAGATTGAGATATGTTAAAAGATTTGTAGTTTGTGTTCTAATGCAGACAGCCCGTTGCAGAATATCATATTTAGTTCCTGAAGAAAACCTGGTAAACACCTTGGCAATGTTATAATATTATGAAAAGGGTGATATTATCAAAGTTTTTTGTAAACCCAATGTCTTTGCTGCTGACAGCAGAAGAGTAAACTTCATCAGAACTGGATGTGACATATTTGAGAAAAAAAATCTCAGCAGTCAGAACATCTGGGGCAGATGGAGCTGCTCCGTTAAACTTCTTTAATGTGGCAGCGTGCTGCCACCAAGTGGTGCACAGCAGGAATTGAATATTAATACAAATATATCAAAAATATTTCAATTCTCCTGCTCTCCTGTGTGCAAAAAAACGATGTGATGACCAAACCAGTGATGGGATTTCTTTCGGGTTTAATATAATATTTTATTGAATGGCTACTTGCCGTGAATGGTAATGATAAAGAAAAAAACAACAACCAAAAATATTTAAACAAAACAACGTTTGCACTGACAGTAGTGGCTCTCAAAGACCAAAAACAAGTCATTCCAGCTGAGAAAGCTTGTATATGCAATTTGTTATAAATCCTGCATCTATTGCCTGTCATCTATTTAAACAGGAAACATCTAACAAAAATCAGTCTGAACCTTGATAAAATATGCATGGTGGAACTGCAAGAGCACAGCTCACTGCTGCAAGTGAACACAGATGCAGTTTCCTGTATGAGCACCGTGCTGAAACAAAACATGGTTGAGCTGCATCTGCATGAACAGCTAAATTTGTGTTTGTTACCGTGAATCACTGAATCGGCAGCGAGCAGTCACTCACCATGTGGACTACTTATAAACTACATTTTACATGTGACTAATGCTGCAACTCTCAAGAGAAAGTTCATTATTTTCCTTCGTAGACTCGGTTATTAAAGACGGCAGCACAGCTTGTAATGTTCGTTAAACCCGCTTGACAGTAAAGCCGCTGGGATTGTTCCTTTAAATGAACAGCTGCTGCTCAGAATTTAAAATCGGCAATTTCAACAGAGCCAGCAGCAGAGCCGGCTAATGCACCGTTGCTACACAGGAATTATGATTTTAATATTTAGAGCAAATCACTTTGTTTGTCTAAACTCGGCTGTCAGTTGCTACACAACACACAGGCTTAAAAATCAGCCTCCCGTACACGAGAGACACGAGCACTTTCCATGTACACTCTGAACAATGAGAAAAGGCGCTGGCAGTGGAAAAAACGTTACCGGCAGTAAGTCTCCGGCCGTCCTTTCCTCCAAACACTCACTGGGAAAATGGTAACAGAGGGGTTTGATATGCTTGGTGGGGAAGAATATGAAGAAAAGGATGGGTGGAGTTTGGGGATTAAATGACACCAATTCTTAACACATTAATTTTCTTTTCCACGCATGCAGCAATGCTGTGGTGATAAGGATTATAGTATTTTGTAGATTCATCTATTGGACTCATTGTTTTCACTCTCTCTCTGACTACAGGTTGCTCTCCTGGGTATCAGCGGACGATATGGGGTGCAGACCTCCGTTCTCATTCAGTCTCTTGGCACGGTACGTTTCATAGTGAATGTTATGAGTGACTTCCTTCAGATCCTGCAGGTGAGACCTGCAAAAGATGAATGTAAATACAGAGAGTGGGTGAGTTATTAGTTAAGTACGTTCATTTGACAGAGGAAGGGATAAGAGTTACTGTGTTTTGAAATACAGTATTGTTGTTCTTGTGTTGTGGTAATAAAATGGTAAAATCCTCCACAACAGCAAACACAAGAAACAAACGTTTTCTCACAATCAAAGAAAATTGCATAGTCTTATATTCAAAAACCTCTTTGAAAACATTTCACATTTATTATAATAAAAGTGCTTTAATTTCTTTTTAGAGAGGAAATAACTTTAATCGCTTTATCAAATAGCTGATCAGGACCCATCTTCATAAAACTATAATTAATTAATGTCATTTATTTTAAATGTGAATATTTGCTCTTTCTGTGATGTTAAACTATCCCAGTTTATCAGAACAAAAATCCACCCTACAAATTTTAACTGGTTTTTTTTGACGTTTCAGAGACCAAATGGTCACTTAAATAAAATTTATACTCACTGGCCACGTTGTTAGGTACACCTGCTCAACTGCTTGTTAACACAAATATCTAATTAGCTAATCACATGGCAGCAACTCAATGCATCCAGGCACGTAGAAGTTCAAATTGAGGATCAGAAAAGGGAAGAAAGGTGATTTAAGTGACTCTGTATTTCACAAACTGCTGAGCTGCTGGGATTCTACCACACAGTCATAACTAGAGTTTACAGAGAGTAGTCTGAAAGCAAGAAAATATCCAGTGAGTGGAAATTCTCTTAGAGAAAAAGGTTTGTTGATGTCAGAGAACAGAGGAGAGTGGCCAGACTGCTTCAAGCTGGTAGGAATGCAACATTAACTCAATTAAATAATTGTTACAACCCAGGTATGCAGAAGAGCATCTCTTAATGCACAGCACACTGAATCTTGAAGCAGATGGGGTACAGCAGCAGAAGAGCACTCTAGGTGTCACTTCAGCAATGCTAGAAACAGGAAACTGATGCTGCAGTTTGCAGGGGCTTACAAAACAATGGAAAATTAAAAAATGTCACCTGGTCTGAAGATGGCTGATTTTTGCTGTGACATTCAGATGCTAGAGTCAGAATTTTGTCCTTAACATCGTGAAAGCATGGATACTCTGCCTTGTATCATCAGTTCAGTCTGGCGGTATTGGGCAACCCAATACTAGCACTGTGTACCTAATAAAGTGACCAGTTACTGGAGATCAATACATTTGTGTTACTGTTAAAATGCTGAGAAAGTTTACTAATAGAGAAAAGTGATTTTTTTCTTTGTTTTATTTCATTTCTTTATTCCACTTTTTTGCATTATTATTTAAAAACATGCTTTAAAAGAAAGTTTTACCTGATCAGAAAATCTCTCAGCTGAGCAAACTCACAATGGTTTGGATTTTCAACTGCACAAAGCAGAAAAACAGAGACAGAAATCCATCAACATCAGTCCTGTGTAAAAAGCCAAACAGAGAAACTCGTTCATGGAAAGCGTTTGACTCACCCTCCACAATTCCCCACGCTGTCTTCCTCCCCAGAACTCGTTTGCCGTTCACTTGATATTCTTTGTCGCTCCCCACCACAGCAAAGGGCATCGCCTCCTGTGAACAGAGACATTTGAACATGGTTCAGTGTACTGAAGAAAGCTACGCGAGGTTTATGAGATGAAACAAATGCACCACATGCCCAAGTGCCCTGGCATTCTGCTTAGAGGACTCGCTGCATGTTTGTGAAAGAGGCTGGGTTAAAGCTGAGTATCAAAGATTCATTCTAATGCCAAGGAAGAAAATCGCTCGACAAATATCGCGTAGGACGAAGAACACAGCGACTTACTCTGATTTTATCATTGTCACTCTTGTCTTCCATGTCATCATCAAACTCTTTTTGTGGGTAAAATTCAATCCCGCTCATCTCCAGCTCCTTCCTTACCTGGAGTGCAGACAAAAGCAAGGAAAAACGAATTTAAAAAAAAAAACATTAATCACACAGGTACCCAACACTGCACAAAAGACCAAAAGTCTTTTTTAATTAATTCATCCAGTTTTTCTCTACTGGGAAACAGCCAGGACAGACTTTTACCAGCCCCTTGTGTATTTGTACTGGCCTACAACCAGGAAAATGATTTCATACATTGCTAGCTTAATTTATAAACCTACGATAGATTAATAATCTATTAGTAGATTTATATTTAATATTATAAATCTATGTCAGAAATGTAATTAGTAACTGAAACTTTAAAATAAATGTAGTGGAGTAAACACAGAATCCTGGGGTGGATGACTACTATCAGCATAGCATACAAGAAATCTGGGAAATTGAATTGAATTTCAAATTAAACTAATAGTTTATCTGCACACAGATGTTCTTTTAGCTCCTTCTTAATTCTGTTGCGTTGGATGGACAGGAACAGGTAAAAATACTGCATTTCTTCACATTTAAAACTATCTGAACAGTCGGTTTGATGATTGACGTTTGTTGGTATTTTCAGGTGTATGACTTGACAGGTAAATCACTGTCTCTGGGCCAAATTGCTAGTGGCTGGCAAACAGTTTGCCCAACATACTGTGTTTACTGGCCTTGGGATCATTGAATAAGACTTAAAAATTAGTGCCTGAGACCATGAAGTGATCAGAAAAAAGTTTACTGAAGTTCACTGAGGTTCTGGATGAGAAGTCAAATCACTGAGAAAATTGACTTCTTTTTGCAACCAAAAGAGTCGCTCTCTGCTGGCAATTACCCAGTATGCAGGTGTAATACACTTTTTAGCTGTAGAGTTTAGTAACTGGGATCCACTGCTGGTATAAAATGTTTATTACAATAGCTTTGCACACTCATCAGTAAATATCTATGAAGAAAGACATTTTGAAGTCAGATTATTGGTGAAACTCACCCTCTGCTTGAACTCCTGTCTCTCCTCAATGGTCAGTGTATCTGCTTTGGCGATGACGGGAATAATGTTGACCGAGTGACTCAGGCGCTTCATGAACTCAGTATCTAGCTGTCGAAGACTGAAGCAGAAGGACAAATAATTACAGTGAGTCATGAGGGCAGATATAGGAGATGTGGAAGCTCATAAACATTGAATAAAAGAAGGAGGCGTCTGGAATTCATTTGTCATTTCTCATACGTCTCATTACCTTTCCTTGGCCTTGCAGCGATTACAAAAGACTTACAGTGAGAATCTTTTTTTTTTCAAGTGGGCTTATCATTGAACAAAGGTTGTGTCCCAGCTCTTGTTTGCCTGCACATAAGACATCCTGTCGGTCTCAATTACCCTGGCTAAGAAAGATGAGATACGCTGGCAGTAATACACAAAAGACTGTATCCACTTATTCATTAGAAAGCAATTTCACACTTGTCAGCAGGAGCTAATTGTGAAAAGGAGAGAGAGGTGTGTGCTGTCTGCAATATAAAGTAGCACACTCAATTTAAGGCTTTGATAATGTGAAATTAAATGTTTTTTGAATAAAGAGACATTAACACTGTGAGCTTTGTGTGTGTGTGTGTCTCACCAGCATACAGTGTGTGAATGGGTGAATAACTGAATGTGTAAAGTGCTTTGGGGTCCTTAGGGACCAAATAAAGCGCTATACAAATACAGGCCATTTACCATTTACAGATTACTTAAAAAAAACCAACATCCCTTAAAGATGGTCTGAGCGATTTACTTCCATACAGCCAAAGCTTAACTTACGAGTGTCCGGTTGGGGAGATAAAATAGAGACAGCAGTGCACCCTGGTGTCCGGGATTCGCTTCTTTCTGGTGATGTTGACCTCCTCCTTCAGGAACTTCTCATACTGCTCATTGATGTATTTGGAGATGGGCTCCCAGCTGTGGATACAATGAAGCAAAACATCACGGAGGCAAGAAAAAACATGTGTGAGGGAGCACTGATTCACTCCTAAACTTTGAATACAGTTTTTAAAGATGAAAGGTGGAGATTTGTCCTCGGTGATATAAGGCAGTTATTATGACATTTTTGATGCTTTAACAGTGCCGGAGCTAGAAATCTCACCAGTTGTCATTATTGATTTGGTCTCCGAAGCCCGGAGTGTCGACAACTGTCAGCTTCATCTTCACACCACCCTCTTCAATAACTAAAAAAAACAACAAAAAAACATGTTCACACAAAGAAATCAGCAAAATAAATAATAACAGCTTCAAGTCTTCTGGGAAGGTTTTGCAGAAGGTATAGGCCTGTGTTTATGGGAATATGTAACCATTCTTCCAGAAACACATTTGTGAGGCAGTGCACTTGACATGCAAATCTTTCTCTTCTTTTTTGAACAATGGCCATAGATACAAGTGATACAGTGAGAGATAAACATCATATTTAGAAGTCATTTTAAAACTTAATTATATAATAAACAAATTATTTGGAAAAATAAGGTACATGATTTTCACCTTGAAATTTTCCAGATTATGTACCAAGTAGTGGAACTAAACCTCAGAGATTTAGGATGTTCTACTATAAAAATAAAAAAATCTACAAGTGGCTACAAGAAATTAGTTTGTCCAGGATCAATCAATCTATCGCCTGAAGCCAGAGTCAAAACCGACCCAAAAACTCCACATACAGAGGCCCAAGCCAATCAGTGAGATGATTTCACTAACCACTATGCTGCCCATAATTTAAAATCTCACAGAGCTGCAAAATTTCATCACAGGATTTGCAGGTAAGATAGTGCATGCACCTCCATGAAATGCCTGCCAGGAAATAGCTTCTGCTTTTCAAAGAGAGCATCAGAGAAAACTGACTGTTTACCAGCGGCAATAAAGGCAAAGGCCAGCTCTTTTAGATAAACAAGACAGTGGCAAAAGCAGTTTAGGAGATGTAGGGGGTCTGGGCAGCATCTGAATCATTTCATAGTGTTCTTCAGGATGTGACGCAGTCTGTGCAACTACCAATTCCTGCACAGCCAACATCCTCTAACATCCAATAACTGAAGGAATTTCACATAGAAAGTCGCAGAAAGCTGATCCCAGAGTCTCTTGGGCAATTACACACCTACAAGAAGTTATTTATGCTGAAGGGGGCAAAGGTAGTGTCTAAACCAAGGATGTACTTACCTTTACCACAGAAGAAGAACACATTTAATGTTTTTATTTAAAAATAAATAAAAACTTGAATATTCAACATAATGACTGAATGTTCGTGTTTGCCATAATCACACAAACAGCAAATACAATATTAATAGTATGGCCAGAATTTTTTATGCTTCGTCTCCTGGTATAATAATATCAGGCCACTGTCATCCGCAGGCAATGGGAGCATGATCACGTAAACTGTAGCAGCCCACGGGCTTGACATGTCCCTACAGTTTCCTCGGGAGCTCATAAGTCGTCAAGGACATGTGCAAATGGCAGCTAGGTCCCAGAAGACATAATGAGCACAGGCTTGAATGCTACATACTGAGCTGTCTGCCACAGTGAGGATTTGATACTAATAGTGGGGGAGGGGCACCAAAATACGACATTTTCAAATGTTATACAAAGTGGCTGTAAACAGCGATTCGTTTGGGCTGCGCTGTGGATAATTTAAAACTTTATTCAAATCAAGCACACGGCTGACTGGCTGACTGTCGCTGCTTGCCCCTGTTACCTGAGTGGAAAGCTTCTCAGTTACACAGATGTTCTACAAGAACAGCTTTCTGATTCCTCATCCTGTAACTTTGAAAGTGAGCCACAAATTGAGCTATGTTTACATCTTTGCATCAGCTGTCAGGCTCATCTACGGTTGTTACCATGGAGACATAACTCTGAGCTCTGAGGCTGTCTCGCATTTTACTCACAAATACTTTGGGCTTTAAATTGGGTCATGGTTGGTCCTAGCTTTGATCAGGCTCCACAAACTGAGCTCAGCGATGTGGTGCTTTGTGACTCCTGTGAAATATGACCGACTGCCCGCACTCTCAGAAACTTCACTGAGGTTAAGTAAGACCCTTTTAAACCCCCAGTCAGTCAAACAACAGTGAAATGAAAGCACACGCAGCACGCCAGGAGATCTTAAAATGATAGTGAGCAACATCCTGCAATATGTTGGCCCTGTGAGGTCAAATGCACTGGAGCTTAAAAAAACACTGTTATCACTCATCTGCTTGCTATCCTGGGTGTTCAGCTGCTATGATCTATACTTTTCAACACATACACTTTTCCATGCTGTCAAACTCAATACTGATATCATTGCTCTTGCCCAATCATCTTCTTGCTTGCCTTCAGCGAACCAATAAGCCTGCATTCTGCATACTTTAAATCTTGACAACCCACTTCCTCACCATCTCAGAGCTCCATCCAAGCCTTCGTCTTCATCCTCACCAGCACCAGTGTCTGGACTCTGGATGCTGGCATTCTGTCCTGCTATGATGGCTCTAACTGCCAAATATTATAACTGATTCTGTATCTCAAAAAATCATGTTTAATTCTTCCAAAAGATTTCTTCTTAATGAATCTGTGTATTGGAGAAACAATTACAGACAGAAAGACAGAATAAACTATATCTGGTAAATGGCATGGCCTGTATTTATATAGCGCTTTACTAGTCCCTAAGGACCCCAAAGCGCTTTACATATCCAGTCATCCACCCATTCACACACTGGTGATGGTAAGCTACAATGTAACCACAGCCACCCTGGGGCGCACTGACAGAGGCGAGGCTGCCGGACACTGGCGCCACCGGGCCCTCTGACCACCACCAGTAGGCAACAGGTGAAGTGTCTTACCCAAGGACACAACAACCGAGACTGTCCAAGCTGGGGCTCGAACCAGCAACCTTCCGATTACAAGGCGAACTCCCAACTCTTGAGCCACGATCGCCCACAGCAGACCAAACAAATCTGCCATACAATCTAAACGTCGGATAAGAAAATAACACAAAAACGTTTTAATACAAAGTTGAAGCTCCTTTTTAATCTGTCAAACTCCAAACAGTCCATCATAAACGAGATGTAAAAACTTAAAAGGTAAGCTCACAACTTCCCAAGTCTATCCTAAAACACTATAGCTATTTTGTTTTGCTGAAATTATTCCACCACTATCACTGTACTTTCAAAGTAAACAGGGCGGCAGCAGAAATCTGCAGTCTTTAGTATAAGCAAAAACATATTCAAAGGATTATCTTAAGTGTGCATGAAACTCCAGCAGCTTGAGATTGACAAATCCAATGGATATCCACAAGGCAAACTATTTTCTTTTTTGCAACAGAACACAAAATATCCAAACAAACAAACAGTTTTAGTTTTCTTTTTTTAAGTTGGCTTGAACATCAAAGTCAACCACAAACAGGAGAGGAAGCATAAAATAACAATAAAGATAAAACAGTTTGTTTTGTATATTCTTACTATTGTCTTTGTTGCAGAGGCTAAGCTAAAGGACAAACAAGCACAAACAGCAGTGACCACATTAGAGGTTCTTCCACGTGCTTTTAACACTGCCTCCTGGTGACAGCATGCAGCAACAACATGTAGACATGTGTGCAAATCTCTGCATTGAACATCGACTACTCAAGTACCATGCCAGGATCATTCAGCACCACCTGACCGCTACACCTCTGCTGCCAATCAGCTACTATCAGATCTTTAGCCTTGGTTTTCCATCATATTTCGTGCTACATGTTTCTGTCAGCTTGTTTTTTAAATGTTATTATTATCTATTTATTATTTATTATTATTTATTTTTGGATATTGTACCTTTATAATAATAATGTATACTTTATTAATACCATAGGGGATTGCTTAGTCCTCTGCACTTAACCCATTCATTCAGTGAAGCAATACGCAACTACCAATCCAGCGCCTAGGGAGCAGTTTGTAGAGACCCTTGCTCAAGGGTACCTCAGGGTAGCCGTTCAGTGGATTTGAACCCCCAAGCTTCCCGATCATGGGGCGAATACTCTACCTACTGAGCAATCCCTGCCCTTGATTTTGTGCCTGTCTTTAATGAAAAACTTTTCTACATTGTATACATTGCCTGGAAACCCACAGTGTGCCCAACTGTGCACTGGCACATGACAGCAGAAAACTGAGCAGAGATCTGTTTGCTGTTTTTCAGCCATCTCTGAACTGAATTTCAGCATCTGTTCATTTTTAGAGATTTCACCAACAGACAGCGATGAAAACCTAACCTTCTTTCGACTTTGTCTGTACAGCTACAGAACGCAAATAAGGTAGGTCTCAGCATTGATTTATTTATATGACACATAAGAGAGTTATTACAGAGCAGCTTGAAAAATTAATTCATGACAATTAAATTCCCAGCACACGGACAGTCGAAAACAACAAGTGATTAAAAGTGCCTGCAGGAGAGGTGGAAGTTGGCCCATCCTTCAGCTGCTTAGATTTCTTGGCAGCTTCCAGGGTGCACTGATGAACTATAAGTAGGCTATGTGGGACTTTTAAGAACATGGCCAAAGATTGTTAATTTTCTCTCTTTAATTAAGTGCTATATAAATGCCTGGCTCTAAAGAAAGAGCAGCATCTCTGTCCTTGCACTCACCGTGAGACACTGCCTTGATCTCCACAGTTTTGGGGATCTTCTCATCACGAGCCCATCCTGCACTCCTCCTGCTCACTTGGGACTTGAATAAGGTGTTCACCAGGGTTGACTTCCCCAGACCACTGTGACCTGAAGTGAAAGGCAGAAGAATTAAGGTTGGAGCACCATAGAGGCAGAAAGTGTCCAGGCATAAAGCAAGTCTACTGTGACGTACCTACTACCATGATATTGAAGTCAAAACCCGTCTTCATGGTCTTCTTCCTCATCTGCTCAATGATGGTGTCGATACCAATGTATCCCAGCAGAGTGGATCCCCCGCTGGAGCTGTGGGAGCCACCGTGACCATGACCGCCGCTGTGTGGTGCAGCGTGACTTCCAGCGTGACTAACGCTGTGTCCTATGCCATGACCCACGTTATGACTGCCACCGTGGCTCGGACCATGACTTCCAATGGGAACTGGAATGGCGCTCGGTGGGGGAGCAGAGATGCCGCCTCCTCCGACACCCAGGCCCTGGGGTGGGAAGGGGCTAGAAGGAGAAGGAGCCCCCACGTTTGGGGGTTTGGCAGGGACAGCTGGTTTGGGTCTAACCTCTGGAGGAACGATGTCTGACATGTCTACAGAAAAGGAAGGAAGATGAAAATAAGTCACACTGAAAAAATGACGAGGAAGTAGGTCAGTGGATCAGCCGAGGCCTCTCCTCTAGTTACTCGTTCTACATTGAAGAAATGGGTTATTGCAGCAGGCTTCGATCACCCAAACAACAGAAAAATCCTCACATTCATCTAGTCAGGCAAACACTGCTTTGTATAATTTGTGTAGTTGTATAATTTTCCTCCCAGATTTTGAAGGTTATGATGAAAGGTGCTTGTAAAACAAACACTTTATCTGTTTATTTTAAAAATATAAAGCTGGTGCTATACAAACATTATGAGGTGAGCAAAATCAGATGTTTAAAATAAAGTTTTCCTTGAAGAGCGCCTACTGTGCTCATTTCCAACTCCATGCTGTTATTCTTAGACTCTACTAGAGTAGCTTTGCATGATTCATGGTTCGGAATAATGTTTCTTTACTTTAAAGTGAGTCTCAATTACCTCTTATTTCATCCACTGTCTGAAATACTATTTTAGCCCTATTCTCTCCCATAAAGTCTTCTTCTCATTGGCTGCCCCTTGTAAACAAAAGGGATTTCTGTTCTCATGTCTGAGATGAGCATATTAGGAACATCTTCTGTTTTTGACATTATACAGAGGAATTGAAAAAGGACTGAAAAGGAGAATACGTTATGATCACAGTTTATGTGATAACAGTTAACTCCTCCCCTTCCTCCTTCCTAAAAAAATCTGGTACTGACTGGAGCTGTGGTACTCAAGGCTAGCAGACACATGGAGTTTAGGTATGAAAAATGTAATTAATGCATAACTGTCACTTTCAAATTTCATAACCATGTGAACTGTATTAATGAATGAATGAATGCACAAGCTGATTAAAATAAAAGTAAAGAGAAGTTGAAGAGACTTAAATGTGGCTAACATTTTTTTTTCTTTGTCAGTTATGTAATAAAGTAAATACCTTTGAGTTTTCAATCAAACAAATCAAGATATCTGAAGGTCCCAACATGGACACAGATGTACATTTCAGGAGGGATCCAGTCCACTGCCTCATCTGACCCAAACCCCACACAGCAAAAGCACAAAAGAAAGCTGATGACTGAGGAGAAAAACTGCTATAACATCATTTGTTTCTTTTTTTACCAACAGATAGATGTTATGTCTGCGCTCATATTTCACACACATCCATATACAAAAAGAAAAGCTGAAGAATATGATGGAGATGGAAGGAAAAGGGAGAGGGAGGTCCAAGTCTGAAAGCAAAATAGCTCAGAGACACAGTATTTGAGTTTAGCAGCATAGGTTCTAGTTTAAAAATAAGATTCATCTTCAGATTAATACTGCCTGTGCTTTCTGAGTTTGCGTCAAAGGTTGAGATAAACCTTATTCCTAAGTGTGCAGAATGTTTTGAACATAAGCAGAAATCTTGATGAAATACAGATCAGCTGTTAAAGTCCAGGGGTTAATAAATCAATTTATAAAAAGATGACTCATGCACAGTTTAAGCTTGAACATAACATATGAGACAGAACTGAATCAACTCATTATGCTCACATCTAACCACAAGAGTCCACACGACCTTAAGCATTTAACTCAGCAGGTAGGAAATCAAATGAGAATAGCTGAGAATAATGACTGGAGAGTTAAGCTGTTATTATTTTATTAAGTTATCACATATTACGCAGACAGTGTAAACAGTAAAATCCACTATCGGTGTACAGAAGTGCCTGACAGAACCTGAAATTAGGGCACTGTGAATAATTTAATTGATTCCTGGAAATCTAGCATTTATAATCTGGGAAGTTCTTGTACTAATGAGTAACAACTACCCCAAAAGACTGCAGAGGTAGGGCAGCATCTGACCTGGCCTGAGTTACAAAAGCGCTGCTCTAACCTCCAGCCTTCACACCCAGGTTGCCCATCTATTATTTCTATCTGCTCAACACAGCAGACTATGTCTCAGCCCTGATCAACCCCCAAGTGTAGAAATCAATGCCTGACTGAACAAACTCAGGTCTTCTTAATAAAGGTGTCCTCCACTCCAAAAAAAAAAAAAAAAAAAAAAAAAAAAAAAAAAAACAATGAAAAATCATTTACATTTCATTTTAACC